TATATAAATAAAACTGAATTATATATAATACTAACTAAATATATTGACTATAATAAAAACTATAATAGTATCTCTATGATACTAAAATAACACTGGCCACAGGCAATTCATTGGTCATGTCAATCACAGTGATAACTGACTACACAATGCTAAAACAAACACTAACCCTTAAAGGGGTGGTTCATTGCGATTTCACTTTTTAACGTTAGTGTCTAATGTTGCTGTTTGAGCATAAACAGTATCTCCAAAGTTACGAAGCTGAAAGTTCAATGCAAACGGAGATATCGTCTTTTAAATGCTTCTCAATCGGGCTCAAACTGGTAAGCGATATTAACGATGCAGTTGTTTACAATACAACCGGAACACATGCCGCTGAGGAGAGGGGCGGGACGATTAGACGTGCGCTAGAGGCGGTTTAGCCAATCACAACACACTGGGCTAGCTAACGAATCAGAGCCCATCGCCTATTTCTGAGGGAGGGGCTTCATAAAAGAAGGAAATGATCAGCCCGTTTCTCAGAGAAGGGACAGAGGTGTGGAATAAAGGTAAATTATGTGAAAAATAATGTGTTTTTTAAAAAACGAAGCATCAACACATGTTAGACTGCACCCCATAAACACAATCAAAACCCAGTGACCCACCCCTTTAACCATAATCTTAACCTTAGCATTAACCTTATTTTTAAGAGAGAGTGTGGCCAATTTTATATTGAATGTGGAAGGATTCCAGTGTCAACTGCTTTCATTTATTTTAGATGTACAAAAAAAAACAAAAAAAAACACTGGCTTATAGTTCAAATAGTTTTACTGTTTACTGTACATTGTTATTCTTCTAGTTATTCTATAGCAGCTAATGAATCAGAAGCCTCGCACCTTCACAGAATACAGCTTTGTGCTGTTTTCAACAACCTCTGTGCTGTAAAATAAGTGGTAATGTTGGTAGCACATTCTGACAGATAGCATACCCATTTGTTGCAACTGGATCAATCCATGATTTTTCACAACTCTAAAATGAATCAGTAAAGTCTGACCTTTTGACAGGTGACTGTGTGATTGAGTTGACCAATGAAATGGGCTGTGGTGCTGGATTTGCACTTAACTGGTGTGGGGAATGAAGGGGGACAAACAAAAAAAAAAAAGAACAACCTTGCTATATTGAGCTGCTCGACAATTTAGTTGTTTTTTTCAGTAGTCTTACAGATACCTCTACACATTAGCGTTGAAAATTACAAAAAGCACCTTTAAAATATGACAATGTCTACTGTTCTTCTTGATGATTTAATGGATATTATGCAGCATATTTTTTTCATTATTTTGAACCGTGATCAACACAAATAATAGTATCAAACTGTATACCGTTTATCATTAGCACACTGTATTGCTCAGTGTTTTCAGTGTGCTCAATATTGAGGTCTGCAATGACATATGTTGTTGCATAGTAGTCTTTATCATAACTACTAGCAGGCACTTCTTGAGTTAGAGGCTCGAAGTGCCAGGCTGGCAATGGACTTCACCACACAGGTGGAGGCTCTGTGGCAGGCACCGGCACTAGCGATGTAGTTGGAGGCTAACCGGTGTAGCCGCTTGCTCCCAAAAGTGTTATAATGGCCGGGCATGACTTGGTCAATCTCCTCTTTATCGACCATCTCAACCAGCCTTTCGCAGCTATGGATGTAGTCGCTGATCCGGCTGTAGGGAAGCCAATCAATCATGGAACCATCATAGACCACATCTCCACTGAACAGCATTTTGTTCTCCTTGTCATGGAGACAAATGCTGCCTCTGGAATGGCCTGGCATGTGGAGAACAGTAAGCTGCCGGTCCCCAAGATTGATAACATCGCCTGGAGAAGGAGAAAAGGAAGGAAAGGGAGGGAATGTGGAACTGAATATTGTCACTGCATTGCAGCACTGACACAGCAGAAGCTGTATCGACTGATGCTCAAGTTATGAAACAGGGTAGGGTTTGTGAGGTATGTTACAGTTTATTATTACTACAACTATATCCTGGTCCAAGAACAAAAATGTTGAGTTATACATCTACAAGCAAATATGCTTGACTGCTGGATATGAGCAGATATGGTAACACACACAGTGATTATATCTGCATATTGCATAAGCTATGCTTTTAAATATCCACAAACATTTACAAGAAGGGTTAAAAGCACAAGGTCTGCTTATCAGAAATAATTCAGGGTTCACACACCTTTTCCACAATTGATTTCCGTGACAGCCAATTACAAGATAAGAATTTGTATACATTATTTTATTTCAAATGCACTCACAAAGAGTACTTTCGTACTGATGGAATAATTTCAGCAAAGCATAACTTTTTAACTATAATATGTAACTATAGCTATACTAAAAACTACACAATACTCACTATAGACAGCCTGTGTGTCAACTTAATATCTGAAGATACAGTGGGGTGAAAAAATAGGCCTAATTTGTGAATGAACATCTATTCATATGCAGTAGTACAACTCCCTGCATAATAGTCCAATCACAGAGAATTATGGGGAGGAGGTCATGTGTGGTTTACTCAAAGCTTTACTCTGATTCTGCTGGGTTTCCGCCAATGGCCCACTATAATGGTTTATCTCCACCATCAGGGAGATTATGAAGCCACATTAGACAGTGAGCTTGCTTTTCACTAACATGCCTCTTGTGAGCCTATCATGATCTGATTTGTTTCGATCTTTCTCTAGAGCTCTTCAAAGACATTATGCAAGGCTGCCCAGAATGAAGTCATGCAATTCAGTGTATTGTTCCTGAAGTAGCTTATGCAATGATGGATGTGTGTGTGTGTGTGTGTGTGTGTGTGTATGTATGTTTTATATAATATCTGAAGATACAGTGGGGTGAAAAAATAGGCCTAATTTGTGAATGAACATCTATTCATATGCAGTAGTACAACTCCCTGCATAATAGTCCAATCACAGAGAATTATGGGGAGGAGGTCATGTGTGGTTTACTCAAAGCTTTACTCTGATTCTGCTGGGTTTCCGCCAATGGCCCACTATAATGGTTTATCTCCACCATCAGGGAGATTATGAAGCCACATTAGACAGTGAGCTTGCTTTTCACTAACATGCCTCTTGTGAGCCTATCATGATCTGATTTGTTTCGATCTTTCTCTAGAGCTCTTCAAAGACATTATGCAAGGCTGCCCAGAATGAAGTCATGCAATTCAGTGTATTGTTCCTGAAGTAGCTTATGCAATGATGGATGTGTGTGTGTGTGTGTGTGTGTGTGTATGTATGTATTATACATATATAATGCTATATATAATAGCATTATAATCCTGCAAACAGTATAATAGCTCACCTTCTTGTAATATATGTGTTGGCGTAACCGCCTTCACCTTGTACTGTCTTGCTCGCCATCCAGGCGCTGGATCCTCCACGATCTCACGGTCAGATAACCATGTCACGGTCTCGAAGTTGTCACCGTTAGCCAGAGCATCCACCTCCGCCTTGTGCACGCCCACCTGTTGAAACTGATGCAGCCCACCCGAATGATCAAAATGCACATGCGTGCCAATGGCTAACAGCGGGTTCTTGCGCTTCGAATCGTCCCCTAGCAGCCCTTTACTATTGATGTATTCAGGCAGACTCCGTAAACCCAGTCCAGTATCTATGACGATGTCCTGATGGGACCCGCGTATGAGCCAGATATTCGCCCTGTTCCCCGATTCATAAAACCGCTCCTGGATCCAAAACACGCCATTTTCCAGCGACTTATGCGCGTACCAGTCAGTCGCAGACATCTCCAATACATTCAAGAGGTTAGTATTGCATGCAAGGTTAATAGTATGGCTGTTAACCTATAAATTTGGTTTCAAATCCTAGCTGATGCAGCTGCAGAAAGGACGCTGACACCCTGTTCCGCAAGCGCAGCACGTCGAGCGTAACGACATGACGTGCTGGAGAGTCGAAGTGCTATTGGTCAATGCGGCAATAGGCACCACCCAAGTCATGCATATTAATAATTTAAAATACTATTTAATTGCCTAAAGACAGGTACTCATTTATATTCATCCAAAAGCTGTAGCATAACAGAACAAGGTAAGCAGTGGCACCTTAAATCATTGTTGCTGCAATGCGACCAGCTGCCTTACTGGCGCAGTTTTAGAAGAAATACCGCATGTTGTCATTATTTACGTTACTCACCCACATGTTTCAACGCAGTGGATCTTCATTTTAAATGCCATGTTCCATAAACATATAAAAGTAATCCATACGACACTATTTCACGTCTTTTGATGCAATATGATAGCTTTGTGTGATGACCAGACTGATTTTTAAGTAATTATCCATCTTCGCCCAGAGGAGTTTTTCTCAAATATCATCAGCAGTGGCGTTCAATTAAAAAAAAAAAGAAAGAAAGAAAGAAAATGGCGCGATTTAGGTTGACGCGTGACATCACGACGCAATGCGTTTACAGCGCAATCCGGAATTTAATTATGTATAAATATATATATATTTTGGCCAGTTGATACTTTATCACACCCTCCTTCACCCAGGCAATTCTAGGAATATTTGACTGACCAAAATGGCAGGAAAGGGCAGAGGAATAGCAGCATTCACCTTCAACATAGAGGCCCTGGGTCTTACCAGAGGGTCCATGCCTGAAACCCAGAGAGGGCCAACTCCACTCTTCCCAGTGAGTTGTTTTCTTCTTCTTATTATTATTATTATCATTTTCCCCTCTGAACTTTAAAATCTGCTTCAGTTACGTTTGGTAGTTATTATCCAGAAAGCCCTGACTGTTTTATATTGTGCCAGTTTTAGTCAGTCGCAGACATCTCCAATACATTCAAGAGGTTAGTATTGCATGCAAGGTTAATAGTATGGCTGTTAACCTATAAATTTGGTTTCAAATCCTAGCTGATGCAGCTGCAGAAAGGACGCTGACACCCTGTTCCGCAAGCGCAGCACGTCGAGCGTAACGACATGACGTGCTGGAGAGTCGAAGTGCTATTGGTCAATGCGGCAATAGGCACCACCCAAGTCATGCATATTAATAATTTAAAATACTATTTAATTGCCTAAAGACAGGTACTCATTTATATTCATCCAAAAGCTGTAGCATAACAGAACAAGGTAAGCAGTGGCACCTTAAATCATTGTTGCTGCAATGCGACCAGCTGCCTTACTGGCGCAGTTTTAGAAGAAATACCGCATGTTGTCATTATTTACGTTACTCACCCACATGTTTCAACGCAGTGGATCTTCATTTTAAATGCCATGTTCCATAAACATATAAAAGTAATCCATACGACACTATTTCACGTCTTTTGATGCAATATGATAGCTTTGTGTGATGACCAGACTGATTTTTAAGTAATTATCCATCTTCGCCCAGAGGAGTTTTTCTCAAATATCATCAGCAGTGGCGTTCAATTAAAAAAAAAAAGAAAGAAAGAAAGAAAATGGCGCGATTTAGGTTGACGCGTGACATCACGACGCAATGCGTTTACAGCGCAATCCGGAATTTAATTATGTATAAATATATATATATTTTGGCCAGTTGATACTTTATCACACCCTCCTTCACCCAGGCAATTCTAGGAATATTTGACTGACCAAAATGGCAGGAAAGGGCAGAGGAATAGCAGCATTCACCTTCAACATAGAGGCCCTGGGTCTTACCAGAGGGTCCATGCCTGAAACCCAGAGAGGGCCAACTCCACTCTTCCCAGTGAGTTGTTTTCTTCTTCTTATTATTATTATTATCATTTTCCCCTCTGAACTTTAAAATCTGCTTCAGTTACGTTTGGTAGTTATTATCCAGAAAGCCCTGACTGTTTTATATTGTGCCAGTTTTAGACAAATGCATTTCACCACCTAGAACATAATTCTGTGCTTTTTAAGCAAATTGAATATAAACCAGGGCCTTTGAAAGCTGGAGAGGATGAAGACTATATGAGAGCTTTGAAACAAGAGATGAGAGGACGAATGAAAGACCTCCCATTTAACATAAAACCCCATGCAGGAAAGGGAGGTGAGTGGTAGCCTTTGTTTAATTTTGGTAACATATAATACCTATTGCATCCTACTAGGAGACTTAGGAATTCTGAGATAATCATATTGTAAAAGTAGATGACTGAGTAAGAGCACAGAGGGCAATGTTGTGTTTTAACACTGCCCTTCAGACTTAAATCTATTTAACTCTATGTTTAAGTGAAATAGTATAACTGATTAGGGATAGTTTAACCTTGAACATAATTGCTATTGTTATTTGATTGTTTTATTATTATTATTATTATTTGTAACACTTCGTAGTTCGGGAAGAAGGAGGCGGGAAGCGGCGAACATTGAAACAAAACTTTAATAATAAAATAAACACAAAACAGCGCGACAGCCCCTCGCGGACGACTGTCGCGCACAAACAAAGCCAACACACAAAATAAAGTCCAGGCCTGGTCCTCTCTCGTCCAACACTGTCGTCACTCCTCCTTTTATCCTTCTGGAGCTCCTCCGTGGGACTCGAGACCGGTGAGTGGTGCAGGTGTCGCTCATTATCACTTACTCCACCGGCCTCGCTCCGTTCCCACGGCTCTCGGCCCCGCCCCTCTCGTCACATTATTATTTATTTTTTACAGTGTTATTAAAGCAAGAAAAGTCAAAAATGTAGAAGTTAAAAGAAATTGATCTCCTGCTTTAAAGTGTTTGCCAGTGTGCTCACCAGTATAATTCACAGATGTGGAGAAGTACAAGGAAAAATACACAAGAGAAATTAAAAGAATTGAAGATGACATCTGGACACCAGGTATTACAGGAATCACTTGAGTACCATTTACATTGGTTGATTTCAGACAAATTATAGACTTGCTTTGTAGATTGGAACCGTCTTCCAAAGGAGCTGAAGCCACAAAAGAAGATAATTAGGAGGAAAATAGGTAATTTCACAAAATGCAGAATCCCTCTTTAAACAAACTGCATTTTTGAATAACCTGTAAATAATTTGAATATTTACAGATACTAAGAAAAATGCAAAGATCTCAAGTAAGGACAAGGAGGAATTGCTAAGTAAACTTGATGTGGGTACACATTATAGGTCATCACCTACTAAACTTAAATGAACTTATAATGAACTGCATTATACATGTTTTTTCATCTTCTTGATTTACGGCAAATGGATATATTTTTGAATTGTGCCATTGTCTCGTGCTTGTTTTTCAGCAACTTGAGAAGAAGGGAGATGTAAAATCAGATGAGGAGGATGAAGCAAAGGGAGAGAAGAAAGAAGTTGATGAGGAAGGGGAGGAAGAAGAAATTGAAGGAGAATTTGATGAAGAGCTTGAAGAGGTAAAAGCTTTTACTAATAGCAATATTTCAGGTTAAATAATTCTTCAACAGCATCTGTAGCATGTTGTACATTACCACAGAAATTTACATTTTTAATTAAAATTTTAGTCTAACTAGAACACTGCATGCTTAAGCATGAGACTGGTGTGACATCACTACCAAATGTGTCTGTGCAAAGCTATAAGTCGCTTTCTACCAATGGAAACATTGTCCAATTTATTTACTAATATTTATATCCTATGCACCTGCCATTCAGGGGTGTATTCCAGAAAGCACGGTTAACTTACCATCAGCTAAACCCTGAACTTTCGGTTGATTAACCCCAAACCTTGCTTACTTGAGGTATGTAGTTCCAAAAACGCGTCCGGGAGTAAGTTCATTCAACTCCGAGTATGTTCCTGGTTAAGACTCAAGACATTCTCAACAGAGCGACGAATTGACGAGTCACTATGGAAACAGACGCTAAGAAAAAGCGTGCCATGCTGTTTCTTTCTTCTTTTGTTCAAAGGTCGTTTACATGCTTAGTGCATATCGTCACCTAATTGATGGTTGTGCAATCATTTTTATTTTTTTTTTCCATTTAATCTTTAATCCTTGAGAATATGAATAATATTGTTTGTTTGATGCTAATTATATATTAAGTCATATCAGATATGTATTTTGATTTAGAATTTAGACATTATAGAAAATGCAGATCCATGTGTGAGATAATATAAAATGTAATAAATATATATAATACATTAAACATTACCTTGTCATAGTGTTTTATAATTTATACAGATAACTGTTATATATGCCAAAAAAATAAATATAACCATATTAGAATAATATATTACTTATTACTTATATTAGCGCTTCATCATTAACATATCATACATACACACACATATATATATATATAATAGGCTATATTACATATTGTAATATTAAATAATGTTGTGTGCTATCGGTCACGCCCTCTGAAGGCTCGTCAGTAGATCACACGTGCGCTGAGAGAGAGCAAGTTACTATGGTTACTTACATACCCTGAAAGTAACCTCCAATTTTGGAACCGAAAGCTGAGGTTATCCGCTCGCTTATCCTCAAACATACCCGGGTATGTCACATAACTTGCTTTTTGGAATACCCCCCAGGTGAGTGAGTGTTGTTTATTTATTTTTCTGTGGTATTCATTTAACAACATAACAGATGCTATTAACACATCTTATGGCATTCCTGTCACATCATCAGTCAAATGTGCAACCCTAGTACCTGCTTGCATATATCTAACATGGTTTTCAGTTACTGGGAAAACTCTTTTAGTGCAACTGTTTTGACAGCTCAGAGTATTTTAGTACAGGAGTCATGTTTGAATAATCAATAGCAAATGTACTTACTTAAATGTACTTGAAATTCCAGAGCACTAAAAGCACTTGATGCATGATCGGACTGTTTCCCCCCCCCTCCCCATAGGAAAATGACTACATAGCAAACTACTTTGAAGACGGTGATGATTACGGGGGAGGAAGTGATGACAACATGGATGAAGCCACTTACTAAGAAAACACCAAAAAAAAAAAAAAAAGTATCATGCAAAAGCATTAAAGGAAATCAATATGTATGTACAATATAAAAGCACAACATTTTAGTTCATACACTGTCTTCAAAGAGCACAGTGTTTTATAGGTATAAAAATAAGATTGTGTAATTATATAGATAATTGTCTAAACTGGTATAATTTAAGCTAAATGATGATAAAATTAAAAGGTTAAAAATAATTAAGAGATTCAGATATTAAAATATAATTCCTTTATTTTCAACCTGCATCTACAGGATTGAAGGCACATAATCACTGTACTCCATGTTTCAAAGAAATGCTTACATCTTTGCTACTTAAATGGAATTGAACATGTTTGAGAATATTTTGCAAATCATCCCTGTGTTCTTGCTAGAAGGAAAAAAGAAAAAAACAGGAAGCCATTATGCTTCCATTAAGTTTTGTTTTTCTTTTTTACAAGCAAAGTTTAAACATTAAAACCAGAAATTATTACCATCAGTTGCAATACTGAATCTGGATTGTACATTTTCTAAAATAAATTACCGTGTTTATTTCCCTGACAACCAGACAGTGGCAGCTGTTTGCCATTAATGCAAACTACAAGCTTAATAGAGGTACAGAGATATACACTGGCTCATGAGTGACACACACAACAAAACCAGCAATCAACTGTGCAAAATGCATGAAGGAAAAAGCTGACAGGATTGGAATCATTTCTTGATTACTCGATCCTCACACGCATTGTTAATCGTTTTTAAAATGTGGTTCTGCTTATACCTTCCATTAATGCCTCCGAATTAATTCCCTGGTGATTTAAAAGCCCCTTTATGCTTTCTCTTCATGCCTCACAAAATGTTGCTGTTTAGCAGCAGACTGTAGGTGAGAGTCTTGGTGAGAGGCAGATAACCCAAACATAGCAGCAGCTGGCTGTGTTGGTCCTGGGCTGATAGAGTCAATTGTAGTATGGTGGCTAACATCTGCTTTCATCAAAACTTCATAGTACAACAGGTAAAAAACAGGTGTAACAATGCCCACAACCAACATGATGGCAACTGCAGTCCACCATCTCATTCCCCAGTCAGCACCATAGTATGGGTCTTTCTTTTGGGCTGGTCTGCGCTCGGGATCTCCCAAAAGCGGCTGCTCCAGTGAGGACACAACCTCGTTCAGGCTGCTCCTGGAAGGGGCAGATGACTTGACGAGAAGTTGAATGTCCTTGTCCTTCTCCTGCAGGAAGCACTCCACGCTGTCCACAGATGAGGTGCCATCAACAGGCAACCAGGTGAGACCGAGGGCCCACGACCGATCTATAATATTCAGATAGAAATGTGTTACCCATTCTCAATGGAAAAGTGCCCAAGAAATATTGCTCTATCTGGATTCTGGATACTTTAGATCAGTCGTGGGCCCTGTGTCTGACCTGGTTGCCCGTTGACGGCAACATTGCCCAAAGTTGCCCGGCAACATTGCTCAAAAAGTTGCCCTGTGTATCATCAGCCTAAGACTGATTCTTAAGTGTTGACTTAGGTAACAATTAAGTGTTGCAAACTAAGGGCTACAATGATGTCAACCCAAAATGGCTGCCCTCGACCTCTGAAAACGCCAATAGTGAGCCTGCTCATGTGAAGTCACAGCAGCACAACACTAATCATTTAATGTGACTACAATAAAATAATTTAAGACACTGAACTATTTTAATATTTAATGTATTTTTATAAAATGCTTTGCATTGTGCAAAATTATCACAAATGGTTACTGATGCTAGAAATAGTTTTCTATTGGTATGTCTACTCGTTTGCAGTTGGAGCACTGATGTGAACATGAGTTCCATCAACAGCTCCAACAACTCCAGGAAAGCCCACAATCCTCATAAAAGTGTTTTTTTTTGCAGCATGGCTTGACGGTCAGTTGGAAAGTCAAAGATCTGCCATAGTAGTGGCTAAAAGTGATGCCGGCCTAGGAAATTTGACATATTCACCCTTAATTAAAAAAAAAAATTGCAGTTGCTTAGAATCAATTGTTTTATTTGTGATAATGCAATGAAACATGCCAACATGCCAATGCGGTCATCATTTTTGGCCATGCTGTCATACAAAGAAATTACGAACACATGCAAAAACAAGAGAGGACTAACAAAATATTAATAACTGATTATGTTGTAGTGAATGTAAATGTTGGCAATTTACTGATTTTGCCACTAGATTTAGTGACTTCCTCACCCCTTTTGGGACTTTTTTCAAAAGCCTAGCAACAAAATTAATTTTAGACAAACCATATCTAGATTCCAAGACTTTCCCACTGATCTATATTTATATAGATCAGTGAACTCGCCATTATGACGTAATCTAGCAACGTTATCTGTTTTAGCTACTTTCAATTGAAAGCAGTTGACAACACTGGTCAGTGTTTTTTCCCTCATAGTTTGATGGTTTAAGTAAAATGTGGGGCCATTTAAAAAAAAAAAAAAAAAAAAACCCAATGTCAGAGGATTTCGATATAAGGCAAGAGGAGAACGAGTTTTTTGCCCAGCCATATTTGTTTGAACCAGAGTATACAGACCAGGAAGTCCGCAAGATGGAGGCTGCGGCGGCGGCACAAATTACAGATTTCCCTGTGCTGTAAACAAAACTTGGTTCTCACGAGACTACACTCTTCTCCCCGGAGCTTACGTTGCGCCTTCCACTACGCTTGAACGCCTTGTCGTGAATGCGCCTGCTTGAGCAACTGGAAGCTGGAGATTACGGTTTATACATTTTTAAAAATCTATATTTTTGTTACACTAACGCATTGTTTCGCTTCAGAAGTTGCACTTTATTAACACCCCGGAGCCGTATGGAGTAGTTTTATGATGGATGGATGTACTTTTTTCGAATTAAAAAACAGGGGTACAATTCACTACCATTATACAGCTTGGAAGAGCCAGGACAATTTTTAATATAACTCCGACTGGATTCGTCTGAAAGAGGAATGTCAGATACGCCTAGGATGCCCTGAGGGGGAGTAAATCAGGGGCTACTTTTCATTTTTGGGTGAACTATCCCTTTAAATAATTTAGGAGCTGAGACCTAGTCTTAACACTTAGGAACCTTTATGAATCACTCTTATTCTTAAGTCCAGGAATAAGAGTAAAATTACGTCATTCTTAGAATTTTGACACACTTAAAGGGTTGAAAATTAGCCTGTGTTTTACTCACCATCGAGCCATCCTAGGTGTATATGACTTTCTTCTTTCAGACGAATCCAGTTGGAGTTATATTAAATATTGTCCTGGCTATTCCAAGCTCTATATCCATATTTCAAATGTAATAAACACTTTTCTCTCACTTCTGTTTTCTGTCATACGCAGAAGCCGTTCCGGCGGATGACGTAGGATGTCGGCGTTGTGTGATTAGTGACGAATGTGGAGAGAGAACAAAACAAAACACCGGTCATGAATTAGAAGTACAAACTGAGGATTTGTAAAGAAAAATGTCGGATGATTTCAATATAAACCAAGAGGAGACTAGTTTTCCTTTGCTAAAGTAAGGAAACTTTACTTCCTTTGCTCCTATAAACAAACTCACGACACTAGCATTTCTCAGAGGCACACGCGCTGTGCATACATCCTGCGTCATCCGCCGGAACGCCTTCCGCGTATGACAGATACCAGAAGTGAGAGAAGAGTGTTTATTACGTTTGAAATATGGATATTTTTCTTACAAAAAAAAGCATGGATTCACTATAGGAGGCCTTTATTCACCCCCTGGAGCCGTGTGAGGCACATTTTATTATGGATGTGCGCACTTTATTTGACGACTTGTGGACTGTTCAACTGCAACACCCGCTGACTGCAAAGAGCTTGGAATAGCCAGGACAATTTTTAATATAACTCCAACTGGATTCGTCTGAAAGAAGAAAGTCATATACACCTAGGATGCGTCGAGGGTGAGTAAAACAGGCTAATTTTAATTTTTGGGTGAACTAACCCTTTAAGACTTCAATTTTACTCTGAGCGGCTTTATACATATGGCCCCTGGTGTTTTTAATATGCTTAAGGACAAACCATATGCAAATTCATCAGTCAACACCATTGCAGAGTATAACAAACAAGGTGTAGACACAATGTAAATAAGAGATTAATTGTGCGGTTACTGAATATAACTTTGTGAGATCGCAATGAACTAAGACGAGTGACGGCTTTACTGTGATTATTAGGGAGTGCTCTTTGCTCACTTTCTAGGCTATAATTTGAATACATTCATTCATGGATTCATTCTCAAAATGGCAATGAATGCCATAGCGATAACTATTAATGCAAGATTGCCACTGCCATTGTGTAGCTTTTACCACAGCATTTACTTCTGCCAACTAAGGGAAAGTGGAGAAGGTTCGAGCTGGTGAAAATGAATGGAGGCAGGAAATAATTTCCATATTCATAGATGCACCTATGTTCAATGAGGTAAGGGTGTAGAGATACAACCAAGCCATTTTAAGACACGAATAAATTACTTTCGTGGTGGGTAAAAAACATTCAAGTATGTAATTTTGATTATCAAATGTGAGTTTTAAGGGACAAAATTAGTGACTGCAGGGGGCCTTTATACATTTTAGATTGTATTTCTAGATACAAGTATAATTCTAGATTTCAAGCATAATTTGACACAACAATATTCTTTATATTCACATAAGATTTTGATCATACCAGTCACATTTCTATAAACATACTGAAGCAGAAAAAGCAAGAGTACAACAAGGGAACTCTTACTTACAGTACAGAAATATTGCAGAGAAATACTGATCAGTGTATCTCCGTCTTTTATGTCCCTTATCAAGTAGACAAAATCATCCTTGCGATCTGTAGATGTGCTCCTGCGATGCCTCTCCTTGCCTCTGGAACGCAGCTCAAAGGTCTCTCCGTCCTCCTCTGAGTAGTCAGTCTCTGAGTTGTTTCCAAAAGCGGACATGTAACTACATGTGGGTGGCTGCACTGTGGTTGCAAACTGGAAACCATTGTGCTGGTTCCTTCCAGTCATTTTTCACTGTAAAAAGAACAAAAGGCAGATGAATGAAGTTTTGTTGGACATGCGTGTTGTTGCTATGTCTGTTGGTTCTGAGGTCATTGGATTCTCTTTTACTATGTCAGATTAAAAGAAACCGCATAGTTGAGGTGTGGAAAAATTAAATATTGATGGATATCTACAGTAGCCTACTGTAGAGGCACTCTGCAACAGCTAACATTGCTGATAAGACCGAATTCAACCTTGGCCGATGTTGACAGAAGCTATTTTAGGAATTTCCACTAGCTACTTTATGTTGAAACACCAAAAAAATAAAATAACAAATAAATAAATGAATATATATTAACTAGCTTTTCATGTGAACTGTTGCTTACGTGGCCTGGCACACGCAGGTAGCGCTGACTAGCAGCTACACTTGTATTAGCATGTAAACAAGACTTCACAAGATTTACATACAAGTTTTAAATTCAAGAAGCCAGCAAAGACATCGGACCAAACGTCTTTTAAGCACACGAAGTAAACGTTAAACGGATATGCTTATTGAATAAAACCACTTAACACTACTAAGGTTTATACACGTAAAAGCTAAGTAACTTATCTCAGTTAGCATATTATTTTAGCCAGCGTTACGCAACAAAACTACAATATCTCATCTGGAAAAAAACTAAATAAATAGTCTTTTAGTATGCAGAATATTACCGCAATTTCTGTAAACATATCAGTCAGTCATTAAATAATACGTAATGTCTTGAAATCCTCTTTATTAAACAGGGTCAATGGTCTCGTGCTACTGATGCTAACCAAACTTTATATCAACAAACGGTCATTGGTTATCTAGCTCGATTTTAGGTAAAAAACAAACACTCATTAATCTTCTGTTTATCCGTTTGTTGCGGTTTACCTGAGAAACGAGTGTGGTCCGCTTGACTTTAGTGATTATGGCATTCTCCAGTTTCCGCTATGTGCCTCATTACTTCAGCTGCTAAATTACTGGAGACAGAAGCCACGTGTTTCCCTTACATCATCAACAGTTTCAGGTAGCTATTTATAATGATGTTTATTATTATTATTATTATTACGTTTGCAACAGGGGACTATTGATAGTTGAGCTCATAATTGACTGGCAGCAGTAGTTTTTGTGCACATTCTGTTTACATATACAAATAAGCACATTACAGATTTTATTATGCACATTACAGTTTTGTTATGCTTTTTTATAATTATTAGTTATTATGAAGTTCAGACTTAAGGTTGTTATATTTAAATGAATTTCATCATTTATGTGAACATGCCTTTGTATAGCAGTGATTTCAGTATCTGTATCTATTTCTATAGACCAAATGCATAATAACCTGAGGGGCCGATCTTCTGTTGTCCAGAATCAAGTGATTTGTCTTTGTCGGGCATCTCAGCTGAGACCTGTCCACAGGTGACCCTGTCAGAAGTTGTGAAGAACCAGTGGTGTAGCTATCAGCATCACTAATGCACACAAGCCCTCACAGCACGTCAAGCTGCAAACCATGGAAGGGGCCATAACCTACACTAACTTAACTGTTCAAAAGCAACCAACCACTCAAAACACCCTAACAACAATATGTGGCAATGCACTAAAACAGCACACTAAAACATCATGTGTGTAGTCTCTCTCTCTCTCTCTCTCTCTCTCTCTCTCTCTCTCTATATATATATATACACAAATATTATATTTGATAGGATCTTTGATAATGTGAGATTTGTACCGATTTGTATCTCTGTTCATGTTTTTGTATTTATTGGCATAACTCTGCCCCGCTGATGGCCATATATATGTCAAGAAAAAAGTCAGCAGACTTTCAGTCACTTGACTCAAACATGATTAAAGAGGGTGCCTTTTTTTTTTTTTAAATGTTTGGTTTTGAATGTTAAATTTAGGTTTTAAAATTCTACATACAACACAAGTAATGGCGTTTTTTTCATGATAGCAGTGGGTAAATGTAAATATAAGAAGTCTCTTAGAGTTACACGATAAATAAATTAAAGTCGTTTGGCAGTCGTTTTTTTGTTTTACAATGTATATCATTAGGTAGATCATAATTATATAAAAACACATATGGAAATGATGGACGTCACAGAGCACAAGTTGTTTTGAACTTCAGAGTCTGTTTGCAGAATTTCATTTGTGCCAGGTATGACACAAATTATGAGACCTAAAATAATTTCTTACCTGTGGCTTCCTCTAGTAGTTAACACTATTACAGCCTTCCTCTGTCATTCACATCAATTCACAACTAATGAAATACTCCTTCACAGGCTGCACAGCGGCTTGAGCCATAGTCAGTCTTTAGAGGCAGGAAAAGCCACCAAAACAGTTGTGTGCTTTGTTGTAAGAGAACAAAAGTCAGTACAAGAATAATTCATTCACCTATAAGAGTTATTAATTTATGAAACACAAACAATGAGCACTAGCACATATGTATTAGCACAAAGACCTTACAGCCTTGCTGTGTGTGTATATATATATATATACATATATATACAGTGTATATATATATATATATGCTAGGGCACCGCGATTGTGCCCTAGCAACGTCGCTTAGCCCCTGCCCCTCCGGAGGTCTGTGCACGCCACTGAGTACAGGTAGGCTATATAAAATGTACATTGATAGGCCCATATTTACAAAATATAGATTTCGGGGAATCCATACCCTGGGGCCCGTTCTTCGTACGTCGCTAACTCAGTTAGCTGGATTTGATTGTTGACGATTTCGCCTGATCTTGGATTGTTTGGTTCTTCGAAGCTCTTCACGGAGTTTCTGTCATAGCAACAGGTCTGTTAGCTTAAACCTGCTCGGGAGCAGGCTTATTTAATGTAAACAGGATTAGATCGCATCTTTTTAAGCAGAATTGATACTTAAAATCTGTCCTACTGCTACTTCATTAGAAGAGTATCCTACTGATCCAGGGACAGTAATTTAAAATAATAATAATTGAAAAATTAATTGAAAAACAATATAATAATGTTGTGTAGTCTATAGGCTATAGTATATTTCAATGAGTAAAACTGGCTGTGTCTATATATAGACACAGACACTTTTACTCATTAAAATATTTATGATGAAATAATTTCTTTATGTATACAGTTAATCTGAGCCGTACATTAATTTGAGTGGTGACAGCTATTATGGGAGTGGCTTGATGGAGCGCAGGAGATGCAGATAACATGATCTTGACCCTTAAGAAACTTTAAAGGGGTCATATGATGCTGCTAAAAAGAATTTTGTGATTGGCCAGCTATCCAGTGCGTTGTGATTGGCCGAATACCTCAAGCGTGAGACGGAAATGTTACGCTCCTCACATACTGTTGATGCCGTGTCCGGCCGGAGCGACGACACAAAAACATGAAAACCCATTAGTCAGGTGTCTTTTTGAATTATATGATGTCATTACATTGCTGTCTCGCCGCCAGCCAATCGCTGCATGGCTGATCGTGGTTTCGAGCATCGATACATCTGCCCTTTTCGGGGAACACGAGAACGCGCAGTAATCCTAGACAATTTCATCCAGATATTTTAATCTAATACGCAAATTCGTTTGAAGAACCAAATTAGCCAGAGATCAGTTATCAGGATTAGAAGATCTGGAATCTTTCAAATCATCTCAGATGTAATAAGCGAGGTACGAAGAACGGGCCCCTGGTCTCATGAGACCAAGTCAATCATTTCGGGTCTAACGGCATCCAAAATGTTATGGTGTTGTTAGAGGAGGAGTATAGTGAGAAGTGCCTGGTTCCCACAGTGAAGATCAGTGGTAGTAAAGCTCTTATATAGGGATGCACTGTATGAGTGCTGAAGGTGTGAGGGAGTTGTGCTTTATCAATGCTGTCATGAAATCACACACCACCATGTGATGTAAAACAAAAACTTGAAACAGAAGATGCTCTCTCATCATTCCGTGCGTTCTTGTACATTTTTTTCAACATGACAATGACAATATGCATTCTCCGAAGGTAAAAATCCTTCAGTGGACATGTATTTCACCAAATCTTAACACTCTTGAGCACCTGTAGGGGATTCTGTAGAGACGAGTTAAACAATGCTTCCCATTAAAGACCAGGGCAATTAGAGGGCGTCCTCCAGGAGTGGACAGACGTGACAATTTGTCATAAACTTGTACACTCAATGCCAAGAAGGTTTAGAGCAGTATACTTAAAATTATGGAGGACATACTAAGTACTAGAATATTATACATTTGTAGAATTAAATATAGGGTGTACTCATTTCTGCAATCCATTTAAACAAAACTGGCTAATTTATATTTTACAGATATTTGTGACGTATGTTTCTCTGTTTTTATTAAGTATATGCTGAATACATTTCAATTTTGCCATTTTTCTAGGATTTGTATTAGGGATTATTAAGAAAATACATCTTTTGTATTTATTCAGAGGGGGTGTACCCTTTTATTTTGTGCACTGTAAGAGTTACGCCCGTCCTAAAACACACCAGCCAATAGTAAATCAAGGCTGATTTATTAAAGTGGCACGTGAAAGTCCTGTCTAATCATGGGTGTTTCGCGTATGAAACGTTTGTGGGAATAATCAGAGAGCTGCAGTGTAGCGGTGCGCCACAGGTTGATTTTAGAAACGGCATTCGCTAACCTCCCCAAATAGCCTCTCCGCCGGAGGAAGACAGATCGCTGGGTGGAGCTGTTCCCTCGATCTGTCAAGCCCGTAGGTTAATGAGATTAGCACATCCCTGCTCAGAAAAGACAAGGCTCTCTACCCAAGTCCACTAGTTCAGACGGGACAAGCACTTAACGGACTGCATGGCAGCGCATGTCGAGCTTTACGCGCATCCACACTCACACCGCATGGACTGGAGAATCCACGCAGCGTCCTGTAAGAAAACCCTCTCTTGCCCAAACTGATTGAGCTGTTCAAGAACAACTTCTGTGCGGGAACAGTGGAAGCGCAGTGCGATTGTCACGATGTATTTATCATCCGATTGACGGACACAGCGCTGACCGGTTTAATCTATCCCGGATCTTTTGTCGTTTGCCTTGGAGTGTTACAATAAAGTGTTAGGTAAGTAACTTATATATCGCATTACATGTCCATCACTTGTTTTGTGCAACAATTTAGTGAAATAGCCCGGTCAGTGCGACACAAGAGCTTCAAAGCGTAACGGTCAGTTTACAACAGTTCAATCTGCTCAAGATATTTGATTTATACTTTTGCTGATTTTCTTTCCTTTTTGCACCTGATGGACGCTTAATAAGCTATTTCTTACAAAGGCTGAAACATTAAATTTAAACTGTTTTTACAGTTTAAAATGTTCGTTTGCTTGTGTCACAATATTTGCTTATGGCTTTATGGTCACAGCGCGCTGCTCTTTAAACTCTAGTAGCCTACATAGCCTACACTTTTCCTGCGACCACAGCCAATTGTTTTTTTTTCTTCCTCTCGTGATAATAAACACATCAGATGTAATCGTTTATAAACATGGTAACATTAAATCAATTTATATCGGCTGCGGATGAGAGGCCATTCTCCTGCGCTTCCATGGTTATTGTGAGGGTCTTCAACGCGCTTTGTGTCTCTCCTCCCGCTCCCATTGAGATAAAACAACAATCGGCGGGGCTCCTCCCCACACAGGGGCTTTGAGATGGGACGCACTCGCGAAGCCCCCTGTCATCCAAAATTCAAACTGTGATTTCACTCCTCTTTACGCACATCAGTTTAAGTGATGTGACGGTCCCTTCTCACTTTAGGGTCTCTAGTTTTGCATGTAGGGAGTTAGTCATGATGTCTGCAGTGTTGGGTTATCTGACACTGATTCCAAATGATATGACTGAAATAATCAGTAACATTATCTTTTATATGACACTTTTAGGTAATCTAATCTACTTTTGGATTGTGTATTTACACACAAGAATGATTTTGTACTATTTTGACCAAAATAAATAAAATAAAAAGGGGGGGCTTTGGCTTTGGACAGAGTTTTTAAAATGTATGGCCACAACCAGTAAGTTATGAATGGATTTATTGCTATTACCCGATATGTAACAATTAATATGCAATCAATAAAAAGTGTCTGTAATTTAATTACACATACACTCTTAAAAATAAAGGTGCTTCACGATGCCATAGAAGAACCTTTTTTGTCTAAATGGTTCCATAAAGAACCTTTAACATCTGAAGAACCTTTCTGTTTCACAAAGGGTTCTTTGTGGCGAAAGAAGGTTCTTCAGATTATAAAAAGGTAAGAAAGAGATAGTTCTTTAAAGAACCTTTGACTGAATGGTTCTTTGTGGGACCAAAAATGGTTCTTCTATGGCATCACTGTGAAGAAACTTTTAAGCACCTTTATTTTTAAGAGTGTATAAAAGAACTAATATTGTAATTGGACTAAATACCAAAATGACATGTAGTTTCTTACTACCCACGCTGGCCAACATTATAGTTATTGTGCACTAGACACATTCAACATGGTTTTACCGAGTCTTTCTTCTGTTTTATTGCATGGACTGGCATCTATGGTAGTCTGTTTTATACCGTTTCGTGTTTAATTCATTAGGGGTGCCCTTTATCTACTGAATAGATGCACTGTGGACTCAATGGATTGAATGATCTTCTTGCACCCCCCTTATACAGTTTCAGTTGAGCATCATTCAGTGCATGTGATTCACAGCTGGGTGTAACATTTGCAGTGGTCGCCCCTGTTTTTGTACCTCCCTTTAAATAGGGCCTTACATGTTGAGAAAACAGAGAGGATGTAATATAAACACTAAATCCATTGAGATGTGTGAAGGCGCTGCTCACAGACGGAGCACTCTGTGATTGATGTCACAAGGAAATGGACCACACAGGGTCCCGTGTGATGAGACAGGTGGACTTAAGACAAAAGAATAAACATTAAAGCTGGAGGAAGCTACATCCCCTCCCTGGTAAAAAAAAAAAAGTCATATATTTAAAATGCATTTATTTCATGCTCCGTATAGTTAAAATCTATTTTCATATTTACTCACATATCGCTCGAGACTTACTGGTATAAAAATTATAATTAAATTTATTTGGAGTAATACTTGTGCACTAGTGTTGTCACGGTACCAAAATTTCAGTATTCGGTACCAATACCAGTGAGAATCCACGGTTCTCGGTACCAATTTTGGTACCAAAGCAAAACACAAAAACATGCTAATTGAACAACATTTTTTATTAATAACGTTAAACAAAAATTAAATGTACAAAACCAATGCCATTCTTTATACTTATTTAAAATTGTTTCAAGTTTTTCCACAAGTAATAAAAGTAAGAAAAAAGTAAACAAGTTTCACCCAAAAGTTTAGTCATAGTTCTGCTGCCACTGAAAAACATCTGTAAACTGTTGTCTGTTTTAGGGTTTGCTGGTGTGTTTCAGGATCTTCCTCAGTCTGCAGCTGTACAAGGAAAATATAATATACTTCAGTAAAGCAATGGGCTGAGTCTGACCAAACGCAACATTAGATCACTGACACCAGCTAAAATATAACTTTTCAG